TTCCCCCCCCCCCCCCCCCCTTCCTAATCCTTCCTGAAAGATTGGTTTCCTTTCTGGTTAGTTTAAATTACTGTGATACGAGTGACAGTAAAATCCCAGTTACGTGCTGACTTAGAAGTACCTCTTCTATCCTTCCTCTGGCAACCACTATCATCACAGCTTCTTATCTTCAGCTGGGGAGCCTGGAGCTGACATCAGTGCTGCTTCCTACATCGCCTGGCAGAAGAGCAATGAAGCAAAGATAGATTTACTCCCATTTTCAACTGGATGTGTCATCTTCATGATGCTTCAAACCAGCACCTGTAGCCTGTTTGGAATCTTACTAAGGTGGCAAGCAACCCTCCACTGCCTAGATATCAGAGCATTTCTAAAAATTTAGTGGTGTGATGTGTTTCTTCTATGCCCAAACTAATTTAACCCGATGAAATACACTTTCTTCAAGTGACAGTGGCTTTGGCACAAAAAGCAAATTTGTATAATTGTTCTTTCTTTTGGATACTAGAGCCTTTTATGACATAGTCCTGTTTAGTTAAGTCAGGTAGTGGGGCTTACTGTACCGTGAGCTACAGTAACTACAATGTAGTTGTTGTTTAGAAACTTCTAATTTAAAGACATAAAGCATTTTTAAATGCATGTATTGATGTCCACATCCTGCTTTGTTATTTATCCCCAAAAATAGTGACTACCAAAGAGCAACATGGTCTGCTCTACTACTCCAAACCTTGAGGAATTCATAAATTAAGTCCATCCAGCTATTGAGAAGAGCAGTTTATCATGACAGTAGGTAGTTAGGGAGGTGGAGAGCAGGAAAACTAAATCACAGCTCCATCTCTGCTCATCGCAGTGGGATCTGTTGAGCTGTGGGTCAGTCTGTCCTTCTTCCTTTCATCATAGTTGACTGTCCTTCTGTTATTCACATACCTACCTATTCAATTATGTAATACATTCTGACAAATCTGGCGTGTATGTGTGTGTGTGTGCATGTAAAATTACTCTCTCTTAAGTCCTTTGAACCAAGCTACCTTTAAGCTGCTTGAAAGTCATACAAGACAAATTTTATATCAAGTTTACTTCTTAATTCATGATTCTTCACTGCAAGGCTATTTTTAATGGTCCTTATTGACTTTGTATATAATTCATGAACTGAAAACAAACCAGGATTTCCTATTCAAGACCTATTTTCCTAAATTAGTATATGGAAGGAGACTTGGGTGACTAAACCAACATTAGAGAACAACAGCTCCATATTCTCCTTGTTATTTCCAAACTAAGAAAGAGAACAGAACCCATGACTTAGCATTCCCCCTCTTGGCTGCTATGGAAATACTTTTTGTTATAAATATTTAAAAAAAAAAATTTTGTCTTTTATTCAGACGGAATATGCAAGGTTTGAGAATGGCCGATTCGTGTACAGAATAAATCGCTCTCCGATGTGTGAATATATGATCAACTTCATACACAAGCTCAAGCATTTACCAGAGAAATATATGATGAACAGTGTGTTGGAAAATTTTACAATTTTATTGGTGAGGAGTCATTATTCCTTACTGCCTTTTATTAAAATTCTTTCTGTATTTCTGTGGGTTGCAGAATTTAGAACTGGGTTGTAAAGTCCTTACTGAATAGAAATTTACTATTACACAAATTGTCCCATGGGCATGGACTTGGGTGCTGCTGAACCTGAGGTCACAAAGGAATAGCAGGGACGACAGAATAGGCAGACCTCTTAGTTATTTTCCAGATACTTATCTTAGGTTTTATCTGTTTTTAAAAGCAAGTCTTATGTCATGGCAACCCTACTTTGCATAAAGCTTTCTTCAGTGGGTGCTAACTCAGATGCCACTGGAGATACCATGAGGTCCCTGGCAGACATTACTACTTAATGAAGTCTTACGTAGTAACCCCACCACAGCTTCATACAGATAATGGCACAATAAAACAGGGAATAAGCCACAAAGTTATTACATACGTTATCCATAATAACTTTATGGCTGGTTCCCATCATGCCTTAAATTAAATATGTGGCCAGCACTGGTCTGCTGATGAGCATTCCCAGCATCACAAGCACACTGAAGCTGCCTCAAAGCCTCTCGTGCAATCCCTGTGGCTGAGAGCGTTGATCAGCTGAATGACTTTCTGAGCCACAGGCTCCCCAAGTTCCTGGCTTGCTACTTGCCCATTCAGGGGCTCCCCCTGCACTGGCAATAGGGTATGATTGGGATCTAATCCTACAGTTGCATCTGATACCATACACGTGTGGCTTGGCAGGAGGTACAATTAGTAGGATTGTGGGTCAGATCCCATTGTACCTTTAACTGAAGATCTGTCAGTGGCCTGTTTCACTGGCTGTCAATTCATGTAAAAAAGAAGAGCATGTATTATACTACTATTAAGATTGAAACTCTGGATGAGCAGTGATGAGTAGAATTATTTTCACTTTCCCAAAGGCTGTTTCATGTTTAGGAAAAACTTAGTTAAAACTTTTTTTCTCCTTTTGCACCGAGGGTGCCTTTTCTGTGGCACTATTTTCCCAGGTTCATAACATACTATCTACTTTTTCCCCCCAAATAGGTTGTAACAAACAGGGATACGCAAGAAACCCTACTCTGCATGGCTTGTGTATTTGAAGTTTCGAACAGTGAACACGGAGCACAACATCACATCTACAGGCTTGTAAAGGACTGAATGGTTATTTATATATACACTTCATTACACTTCTTTATCAAAACACAGACTGTAAACCTCAATACTAAGTGGCAGTGCCTCTGGCCCATCTTTCACCCACATTTTTCTAAATCCTGTTTTAGTGAAGTCATTTTTAATGTGTTCATATATAATTGTAGCTGTGAAATTCTGGTACAGTTGTAAAAAATTCTTTCTAAAACTAAGCATTCTTCAAATTTGTAAACCACAGTTCTTTGGGAAGACTGTATTTAAGAACCTAACACCTCTGTCTGTGGAGGTTTATTTTTAATTGTGATAGAAAAATGTATGACAGAGCAGTTGCCATGGGGAAAACGTACAGAATTTATAAGAATTTATTTCCTTTTTTGTTTCCAAAAAAATGCTTGTTTTACGATGCAAATGAAATTGAAATGAATCCTAACTATAAATGTAAATTAGTACACAAAGTTAATAATCTTTATAGAATTATCTTTGTAACCAATTAGGGTGGAAGATATGGACGAATGTAATCACTAAATTTATTTTTTAAAATGAAACATTTTTCTGTTTGAAACCAAATGAAAAATACAGCCTTAAAAATGCCTGATAGAAACAGACAGGTTCTCAAATTAGGCAAATTTTGTATTTTTTTCTCAACGTTGAAACTAATCTTCTAATCCAGTAAGCTTTCAAACAGGTATTGCAGAGAAAGAAAATATCATCCCTTATCCTTAACGTATGTAGTGTATTTTAAAATAATATAAAGTTGTATCGTACTAATAAGAGAATTTGATTATTTAATGAAAAAGATGGCTCATTTTGCAATAAGTAGTTAATTACTGAAAATTTAGGCCAACAATATATGTAGTCTTGCGTGTGCGATTATATTTTATATGGACAGCTATGTTTTCTATAAAATTGAGCGAAAACTTTGCAACACTGAAATTAACAAACATAAGGGGAAATTATTGACATTATTACGTGTTGTGAATAATCTATCAATTAAACTAATAATGTGGTTGAGAGAAGAATACATAAGCCAGTAAAAGGCTTACCAGCTTTAATATCTTTGAGATGCTAGAAAAATCACAACCATCATCAAGTAAAAAGAGATTGGAAAGCTGGAGAGTTTTCTCCTTTTTCTTATTGCTCACAATGCTCTTCCACCTGTACTACCCCACTCTGCCCAGAGCCTCCTAGAAGAAATGTTGCAATTGGGACTATCAGGGGGAGCTTACAGGACACAAAAATTATTGTGACTTGAGGTCTGCTCTGCAGTCACATTCAGAGCACACAGGTATGTAGCGGTGCTCATTCCTCTGGTGAATACATTAAGAAGTGGTTAATTCAGGGAAGATTCTGAATTGTTTATTAAAACCCAGTGGAAGAGATTTTCATAGTAAGTAAGGACCTGAAAAATGGACATAGGGGTGAGTGGTTAGCTGAGGTACGTGTGTTGTTATACATACTTGTTTCTTACAAGCTAAACTGGTTAATATCCCATTTCTGTTTTTCCTCTGTCTTCCTTTCAGCCATGCCCTTACACTTTTAAAGAAACACAGTCAGGATTAGGTTATAAGAGGGATATGTGTTCTAAAACGTGGCAGACCATCTGGCAAACTGCACATCCTAATGGGCTGTCTCGAGCACTGGTTGTGAGATAAGACACGTATTTATGCTGCAGATGTTGACAAACAGCATTGATCTGGAATGCTGTAGGTCTTGGCAAACCACAAATGGGGCATAGAAGATGTGTTTAGCAGTTCCCCACCCAGCTGCCATTTCAAATACACGTCTGTGTGCAATTAGAGGCCTGGCTTCACCCCCAGGTAGAGTATTGTATACTTCAAAAAAGTCAGTCTTAATTTGTATGACACTGTAGCTCTGACTAGTACCCTCAGTTATCACTGTATGACCATTAATGAATACTGGCTAGGGGAGGGAACTGCATTTGTAATATGCAGCATGTAGCTGGTTGCTATAGGCCTGCACCAGATCATATTATCTTTAATGCTGTTAGGACTTACATTAGAGGAAGAGACTAACATCTGGATGAGGGCTGAGATTCCTTAGGCTATGAAACCTCAGATCTGACTGCAGTAGGCAGATGATTGCTGTGATGTCTAGCTGTCATATTATCTAGCCACTCATGGATGTTAGGGCTGATGAACCTTTTAGCTGTTTCTATGTTGTGAATTGTAAATTTAATATCCATAATAGGGTCTCTTAAGTTGCAACACTAACTCTCACATCAAGGAAAGCACTGCATTGTAACAGCCTAATGGTAGCCCTTTATTTTAAGCACTTGGTGTTACAAGTCGAAAACTAATTTTTTTGTCTTCTGTTTTGTTTTGTTCTAAATTCGTCTCTTATTTAGGTTTTTGAATTGTGGTTTGGGTGCTTATTGTTTTTATATATATTTATATAGATATATATATTTCTATATTTCTATAGATATAGATATCTATCTATCTATATCAATATAGCAAGCAAATTCTTTAAAGTGTATAAAATATGTAAATCATTTTGCAAAACCAGGTACCGTTCTTTTGTAAAATCTGGCACATTACATATGTCATAACTAGAAGGTATCAAAAGTCACAACGTTTATTGGTGTTCACATGTGTAATGTTAGGAAAAAAATATTTGCATTGTCTTTACTTTACATTTATGTAAGTGATCTAAACCCTGTACATGTTCCTACTTAAAAGCCTTAAATCCTTCAAATGTTCAGTGTGGGGTGTGTAGTCCAAAAGGCTGCCTGTAAACTGTGAGCTCTTTTGTAAGCTGGAAGAATTTATCCTGTTACTGTTACTTTTTCTAGGAACTTTTTAATTCAGAGCTGCCAAAGCATTACAATATGCAGTGCCTTAGTGTTATATTAGCAGTACCTTTAGCCTCTTGCATTGATTTTCTATATTGTTTTATTAATTGGTCCCATTTAAAAAAATATATATATATATATATATATTTCCCATAGAAAAGTCCTTTGACTACTGGTCTAAACCAACCTTCAGTGCAAGTCAGTCCCATTACTACACAGTTTAATGTCTATACCAAAATGAAAGGTTACAACTTAATAGTTTTCTGTGAAAAGTGAATTGTACTAATAATGCTGCCTTTTTAAATTTCATGACCAAATAATTAACTAATTGTGACTTCTGCACTCTAGCATGAAAGTGCCTTTGGTTTGAAATTCCAGCTTAGAAAAGTGCTGCCATAATAATGACAATTTGTAGAAAGACCAAAAATATTTAGTGATCACCATAATGCCTTTGGTTTATTGGAATAAATTAAAACTACAGGCCTCCATTCACAAAAGAGCACCGTTTATAGTAATGTGATTTTGCTAATCACCGGACTGAATAATGCTGGAAAATAATCTACGTGTTGTTTAACTGTTTGTCAGAGTTTTGCAGCTTTGCAAACCAGCAACTGATGTTTAGAATTTAAAACAGTCAGTGATTCCCATTTTTCATTTCTTCATTCAGTCTAGCATCTGAGTAACGTGACGTCCATATAAATTGCAGACCTTCAGAGAGTGGACAAGTGTGACTTTATTGTTCTCTTCTAATAATATTTCAGTATCTGTGAAGATCTTTTCTTTATACAAAATTTGTTTACAAAGTTGAGCCTCTGAAAGTTGGATGCACGAAATTTGAGATGAAAATGCAGAACAGAAATTAATTAGAATAATTGCATTTTGACACGTGTTTTTTAGCATCATGTTAAGCATAAGCATTATAGAAGGTGTTGTATGGAAAACTGGACAGCACTATTTGAAATGCGGGGTTTTTTGTTCTTTTTCTAAATGATGTCTCAGTGGAGGAAAAGCAGCTCCTTCAACTAATGTGTCTGGTTTTGACACCTTCTGTGAATTGGGGCCACACTTAATACAAGAAGTACAATTGCTAGGACAAAGAGCAGGATTTTAAATAAATAACAAGAACAAATATCAGCAAAACCAAAAGCTGGCAGAGGAATTATATAGTTGTGCATACAACTTTAATGTGATTTTTTAAATACTTGATGAAAAATAAGGTTAACTTTTTATATATAAATATTGTGACACTGTGGTAAATATTGTGATAATTCACGTTCCCCATCTCTAAAACACTATTTTTTGTTATTCCTCCAATGTCTGATTCTCATTTTCCTTCCTCACATAAGTTGTCCTGTTGAACTAAGGATGCTGAGGTAAGGCAAGGGGGTTTGGGGCCCCAAAAGTACAGGATATATTTTCAGCTATTGTATGTAACAGCTAAAAGAAACATTTGATAACAATGGTTATGAACTGCAGTTTATTGCAAAGTAAACTTAACTCTATTATTTGCTGTCTCATTATTCGCAATTAAAAGAATAATGGTACTATTAAAATTACTACTAACAAAGTAGTTTAATTACTTGAATTCCAAAATGATTTATTTAGGTACTGTACCACTATTTTGAAGAAATTACAGATAAAATGTTTATTTTCTCACTTCCCTTCTCTGCTGTAGTTACAACTCATTGCATTTGGCAATAGCTTCATAGTCAACAAATTCTTTGTTTTGTATGATCTTAAATAACAAAAGGTGTGCATTAATACGTAATGAAAGTAGCTGATAAATTGAAGTCAGATACTATATTTGACAAGCCAATCTCTGTATATTTATTTTCCCATTCTAGAATTCCTAAAGTATGCTTGGTTCCTGAATCAACCCCCACAAAGTTTGAATGGGTCATTCATACCTGGAAATGTTTTGTGTAATATTTAACATGACATACATTAACATACGTAGTAGTCCATCAATCAAAAGACATGCTAGTTGATATCAACCCAATTTCATACCCCTCTCAGGATGATCTGTTTTCCACTCTCATCTTTTGTTATCAGAATTGTATCCCCTGAAAAGATTGAGGCTGGATACTTCAAAGTTTTGAAAATGTGTGTGTTTTGGTCTTTAACTTTCTGGGTCAGTCTTGCTGAGATCATGTAATTAATTTTACTGTGTAAATTAACTCTTAAATGCACTCAGTTGACAAAGAGGAGATGTGTCCCTGTTACCTCCTTACAAAAT